CTGCAGATAGCTACTGATCATCTACTTCCTTCAGTGTCCAGTACCATTCTGTATGAATGTGCAAAAACTAAGACGTTTTTATCGTAGCTTTTTAGCATTAAGTGTTTTTGTTTTCATAATTGGTTGTTTTATGTATGATACATTGTATATTGTTTGTTTAAAATTTTAGATATGCTTTTAATTATATGGCAAGACTTTAAATAGCTTTTTCTTTCTGAGATGGAGTCTCACTCTGCCGCCCAGGCTGGAGTGCAGTGGCACAATCTCAGCTCTTTGCAACTTTTACCTACCAGGTTGAGGCGATTCTCCTGCCTCAACTTTCCAAGTAGCTGGCATTACAGGGGCGTACCACCACACCCAGATGATTTTTGTATTTTTAGTAGAGACAGGGTTTCACTGTGTTGGCCAGGCCGGTCTTAAACTCCTCACCTCAGGTGATCCGCCCACCTAGGCCTCCCCAAAGTGCTGGGATTATAGTCATACAGGTGTAAACCACCATGTCCAGTCTTAAATGGCTTTTAAAAAATAATTTATCCTATATCATAAGGAGTACTTTTTGAAGTTTTGTATTTTATAATAGAAATTTTAACTCTGGATATTAAAATCGCAGAATTTTTCATTTTTAAGACTTTACTTTTGTAAAGATTGATCAAACGAGATTAGAAAAAAATGAGAACTTTGGCATATTTTGCAGGAAAAATAGTAAAAGAAATGCAAAATCAAAGTTGTTAAATATTCAAGACTATTAACATGCAGTCTTAATGCAGGTTTTTAACTGTTTTTACATGAAATTGACTAGAATAAATGCCACATATTTAAGGTTTACAATTTAATACGTTTTAATGTTTGTATATACCTGTGAAACCATCACCACAATCAAGATACTCAGCAGAGCCATGCTTAAAAGTCTCCTTTTGCCTCTTTCCATTTTTCTGTTCCTATATTCTGGAACTTTCTTCTGGGATGCAGTTAAATTACTTGCAAACTGTTTTAACCTTTCGAGTTTTTGTTAGACCCAATCCAGAAAGTGTTTAGACCAGGGCTAATTATTCCCATTTGCTGAAGCAAGATCCTTCTAGGTACTCTATTCAGTGCACATGAATCATGACATTTCCAGTCTGGCTGGTAGAAGAGACTTTTTCCAGCCCTGTACCAGTGCTGTGCCCTGTTCCCCTTAACCCTTTCTGGTGGTTCTTTCCATGGCCTTGGGTAGTTTCCTCACCTGCATACACTGATCAGTACAAAACTAAGTACTCAAGGGAACACTGCACAGCCCCAGAATCCTTATTCTGTATTTTTCTTTCTTCTCTGGCATCTGTCCTGTGAAGTCTAACCTCTTTGATCACCCTGGACTCTCAGCTCCTCCTGAACTCGGGGAGTCCACTTGGCTCAACCTGGTTTTCCCCTTCCTGCACAGCACGCTTGAGACTCTGTCAGTCAGAGCAGTAGGCTAGGGTAATAAAAATAGGGCTCACTTGGTTTGTTTTCCCACTCTCAGGGATCACTGTCCTTCATTGCCTAAGTCCCATACCTTACGGCAGGAGGAGGAAATCTGGTCCCGTTTTAAATTAGCATTAAGCAGAGAATTTAGTTCTGCTTAACGCTAGTTTAAAATTATGATAAAGATTGGTTCTTATGCCCAAATAGTATGATTTTCTTTAAAGAAATAGCCTGTAAAAGGCTGTTACTTAATAAAAAGTGTATGACTTAATAATATACCTTTGCCCATATGGTAATGATGCTTTAGTAGAGTTTTTTTTTTAAGCTGTTATATATATTTTAATTACGAAGACTGGCTTTATATAGCTGAATCGTACCACTTAAATGTTTGTTTAAATTTTAGAATAGTAGGAGATAAAATGCTAGCCATATCTTAAGTTTTACATGATTGAGAAATGTATTACTCATACAGTAGGAATTTGGGGGTATCCTTCTCTGATTAATAAAGCCTATTATTTATTTATTTTTTATTTTGTTTTTATGACAGAATCTCGCTCGGTTGCCTAGGCTGGAGTGCAGTGGCACAATCTTGGCTCACTGCAGCCTCTGCTTCCCAGGTTCAAGGGATTCTCCTGCCGCAGCCACCCAAGTAGCTGGGATTGCAGGTGTGCTCCACCACGCCTGGCTACTTTTTGTATTTTTAGTAGAGATGGGGTTTTGATGTGTTGGCCAGGCTGGTCTTGAACTCCAGACCTCAAGTGATCTACCTGCCTCAGCCTCCCAGAGTGCTTGGATTACTGTCATGAGCCACCGTGCCCAGCCTCTTCTGGGAAGTCTTATAGAAGAATCAAGGATGAGAATCAGAAATTTCACATACTAGTCTAGTTCTACCCCTTTTTACACATTTCAGTTGGAAACACACCTATTTTCCATCATTTTCAAGAGGATTCTCTTTTAAAGTTACTGTTAAAGATTAATGATCTTTGAAACAGTCTAATTGCTTTACAAACCGTATTCTGTAGAATGCTGCTGACCCAAAAAACATTAGTATGTGTTCAGCAGTAGAGGAAGGGTTCTGTGGTCAGTTCACTGAAACAATGAGTCAAAGTTAGGTGTTTTCAGTCCATCTTCATGAAACTCATTGTGCCTAAGTTCTAGGGCAGTGTTCATATATCATACTTATTACTATAGATGTGTTAGTAGCTATCATATTTATGCTTTGATTTTTTTTGTTTGATTTATGGCATTTGAATGCAATATTTTCTTTTTTTTTTTAATTTTTATTTTTGTAGAGACAGGGTCTCACAATGTTGCCCAAGCTGGTCTCAAACTCCTGGGCTCAAGTGATCTTCCCATCTCAGCCTCCCAAAGTGTTGGGATTACAGGCATGCACCACTGCTCCCAGGTGAATCCAATTATTTTCAACACCGTTTTCACTGCATGCAGTATCTCATCTCTGCTGTTATAAATCCTATAAGGATTCAGGCAAGATATAAATATCAAAGGAAGTCTGTGCCAGTCCTTTAAAGATTGCTTAGTTAGAATTTTTGTAGCAAGATTTAACACAGAAACGTTAAGCATAGACCCAAATATTAAAAAAAAAAAGGAAAATAACATTTATTTTATATGCTGTGTTAGTTGCTTTATATTGATGCTTGGAGGTGGATGGTATTGTTGAGGTTTGCAGAGGTTAAAAAAGCTGGTAAGTGATAAGAGTTGGGATTCAGTTTCTTGTCTTTTTGATTTCAAAACCTAGACTTTTTGCTCTGCATATTGCCTGTGGAAGAAGTAGTGTCAAGAAAAACGAAAGGAAAAACTTAAATTATGTTTCAAATTTTGGTGAAATCAGATATTATATGACCACAGAAAATCAGTTTTTTGAGTATATGTTAATTTATCTCTCATCTATTGGGAGGACTAGGGACAATGCTCCCGTTTTAAGTCTAATATTCATAATGGCTTTAGGATTTGAGTTACTTTCAGAGCTTTACTTTTACATCTGAGTTCTTGAGACTTTTAAAACATTACATTTATTATGCTTTTTTTTTGTTTTACATAGTAAACTTACTTTTAAAATATTTGAGTGTGCCTACTGTGTGACAGGCATTGTGCTAAGGCCTTTGGCATGACCTGATTAATTAAGGATGTAGCTTTTTTTTAAATTTAATTTTATTTTTCACTCTCAGGATATGCTTAAGGATACATGTTCTCAAAACCATTTTTAATTACCAAAATATTACCACGGTTATTATAAATATTGCCCTGACCTTAATTTTTTAGTCTCTTGATTTCTCTAAACTTTTCACTTTCATTTCTTCAGAGCCAAATCACTCACCTACCACCCCATGATGATTAGCTCTTGATACTCTAAAGAGGCCATATCCATTTTACTTCTGTCTGCATCCTGTGGAATATTATATAAAACAATAAGAAATTATATTCATAATTAATAAGTTTAGCTCATCCTCAGTTATAGTATGCTTTATTGTTTATCCTTCCATATTTGAAGTTAAACAAATACTGGGGATGTAAATTTAATATTTATATAGTACACTCCAGTCCCTGACTGTTTACTTCAGCCTCAAACTTATAGTCTCGATTACATACAATGCTTCTTTCTCCTATGCCTTTGCTCAGGTTTCCTTCACACTCTTCAGTGTCCATAAATAACTTCCGGTTGTGTTTCTTAATGTCTGCTTACTCTGTTTCGGAGTATCACATGTGGGACCATCTTTACTTCCTGTCTTTCGACTTCATCCACTCTGCCATGGCATGTGTCAGGATCTCTTCCTTGTTGTCACAACACCCTAGATGTCTCTGCCATTGCTCTTACTGCATTAAATTTTTTATTTGATGTGTTTTTGTCATGAGACTGAGCTCCTTCAAGGAATTACCATTTATTTTTTATCTTTATATTTTCATTGTCTAGCACAGTATTGGCAAACAATAAAAGTCTGGTACGTACTTGATAAATGCACAAATAAATGACATTGATTTTTATGTTTATCATTTTAAAACTTTATAATACAACTTTTACTTGTTTTGCTTATTTTAAATATTTATTTCAGGACTATATTATTCTTGTGAAAGATTCATGGGTAGATTTTGTCTTAAAATTGTGAAAAAGTTGTCAGAAGCCATATTTATATAATGATATTCAAGGGCCATGCCATGGTGAGATTCTTTTTCCCCTAATCTCCACTATTCCTCCACCTCTTAGGATACAGATCTTATGAATGAGACAGAATAAAGGACTTTAAGTTGGATAAAGATTAGGATTCCCTGCTGGCTAGTAATTATCAGAATCTGGATGGTTATTTGTTTGGATGAAACGATGCATACATTGTGTGCATCAAAAGTAAAGCATATGTGATTGTTAGAGGAATGTTTGAATTCCCCAGTGGGATGTCATGGGGTATGTTTATAAACTCCCACTAAGCAGTAGTTCTACAATGGAATTTCTCTGGCATTGAGATAATAATTTGCACAGTCAAATTACCTTCTTTACAAAACCCCAAGGAATCATGAGGGCCTAATCCTTTATTAATGTCAACCCACAGGCTGCAAGAAAGCGTAAGATTGCCATTCGAAAAGCCCAGGGGAAAAATGTGGAGGCCATTCGGGAACTGAATGAGTATCTGGAACAGTGAGTGTTTTACAAGAGGATCGTGTTTTGTTATTCTGATAAATCTTTTTTAATTAAAATGGAATTTGCATTTGATTTTCCTGTTTGTCTTCATGCTGTTCATTTACAGAATATCTACACACTTACTTTTTTTTCTTTTTCTCTCAACAGATTTGTTGGAGACCAAGAAGCCTGGCATGAACTTGCAGAACTTTATATCAATGAACATGAGTAAGTTATTAAACACATTTAACATTTTGTTGAGTGCAGTTTTCATCATTATAAGTTCAGAAAGTACAGTGGTTTCCAAAAGGGTTGGTGAGAAGATGTGAATCATGTCATTTGAAATGAAAAACAAAAGAAATCAACAATTAAATGAAAAAGAACAAATCAATAATTTGCTAGTCATAATATGTGAATAGCTTTAACTAGGTCATTTGTGTTTTGCTAAATTGTTTTTGTTTAGGAAATAAGTTTTTCTTTCAAATATAGATGGCATTCTTTGGAAATAAAAAGGCCTACATTTTATTTTTGTTGAATCAGAATTGTGAATTTTTAGGGTTCAGATTGTTCTTATATACAAAGAGTATTATACTCCCTGCTGTTTAAAAATTCTGTCAATTGTATGCATGTATTAGCCTTAGTACTAAGAGAATCAACTCTTCCAAAGTAGAAGCATTCTGTTGCCTGGGTAAAAAACTGAGAATAATCAAGAATGTTGAATGCTGTAGGAACTTGCTTATTGGATGTTTAATGTTTTTGTTAGCTTTTTTATTGCTGTAGTGACAGGAGGAAATCCCAGTGTGAGAGGATTAGTCCAGAGTCTTAGTGCAAGTTTTCTAATATTACAGCATTAATGCTAACCTCCGTCTAGAGGCATTTTTTTCCTTAGTCCTTCTGAATCTGAAGTATATTACATTGTTTCTTTTCCTTCTTTTTCATAGAATAGAATCAGATTCTCATGCACATTTTTTTGTACATGAATATTTGACCTTGTTCTCATACACTACCAAGAAGTGACAAGAAATAAAATAGAATGAAGACATTTGTCTGTTGTCTGTGGTCTATAGCTATAATGTGATATAGAGGATTGAGGTAGTCAATTTGCATAAGTCTAAGAAAAGTGGGAGCTAAAATCAAAGTAATAGCTGTCATTTAATGAATGTGTACCATATTCTGGGAACTGTTTTTTAAGTTTTTTGCTATACTCTGAAACAGATATTCTGGTTTCCAGTAGGAAATTATTTCCTGAATCACATTCAGTATAGATAATATGTTTATATGTACACATATGTAAACGTACTCATGATCCCTTATGCATGTGAGACAGTATATAATACTTAAATACGTGAAATTGAATTTTTAGAATATAGCAAAAATTACATTTTATTTTGTTTCTAAAACAGGTGAGTCATTTAACTTCTTTGTGTACTTTTTAAAGATTTTCTGACTAAAAGCATTTAAAAACATTTCAAATCATCAGGGAAATTTTTCTTTTTAAGATAAAGAAATACCTAATTCTGAATATTTGAGAAATGTAATAAAGCATAAAGACCAAGACAAAAATTACACGTAATTCCACCATCCTAAGTTAACTGTGTTTGATTTTTGTCCTTTCTTACCTTTTAAAACAAAAGCCCAAATGAAATTATCTTTTATAGTTTATTCTTTTCTTAGTTATATTTTGTCAGAAATTTCTTGTCATTATAACAGTCTACATTGTGGTTTTAATGGCTTTATATTATTTCATCTTATCAATATATCCTAGTATTTTTAACCAGTTTCCTAGGAGATATAAAGGTTGTTTTATATTTTTACTATAATGCTGTAGTGATCATCTTTATTTTGTTTCCGTGGGCTAATTCTTAGAAGTAAAATTGCTTGATTAAATAAGATGTACATTTTCTGTGGTTTTGATAAATAGTTCCCGATTGTTCCCGAAGCTGGTAACATCAATTTACTTGCATACCAGCATTTACTAGAGTACCTCTTTAACAACACTGGATACTGTGATTTTTTTTTTAATCTTTACAAGTTTGATAGGTGAATTGGTTCTACCATTTTAGTTCATTTTTAAGAGCTCTTTAAATAAAGGAGAGCAACCAGTAGTCAAAAGTATATCCTTGTTATATGCTTTTAAAATACTGACTTTTTTAAATGATATAAACTTTACATGTGTATTTAGAAAATCAGATACATCAATTCTTAACATTGTGTCTTCTATCTTTTAATGACTTTAAAAATATAGCACCTTTTTCTCCCTACTTCATTTACAGTTTTATTGTTTTGCCTGTATTTCTAATATTTATGTCATCAAATTTAGGTTATACCCTATTTTTAACCTACCATTAAATTTATTTATTTGTTTCACCAAGTCACACCACATTCAGTTTTGCTTTGTTTTGAATCTAAAGAGTTTATTGAAATAGAATTGAACGTACACATAAATGAACTCAGAAATCTCAAAAAAAATCAAGAAATATAAAGATGTGGGAGCACCTGAAAAATATATTTTTTTTAGCAGAAATGACAATATGGTCAGCCTTCCCTTTTATTAATTATCACAAAAGTCTACTTGGTCTTGAAGCCAGTTAGTTACAAAATGACCATTTTTTTTCCCTAATTGAACACTTAGAAGGAATATTTATATTTCGGTGAGTATAAATACATATCTACAGATTTTTTGAAACTGAAAATTAGAATTAATTTACTTGATTCATTTGACACGTTTGAACAAGTCATTATAGTAGGCAGGAATTTTTTGGTGGGATGTTAAATTATTGTAGGATATCAGTTTTGCGCTAGTCTTGACACAGTGGCAAAACTGTAGCAGTTTAGGAAATGTTAGATATATTTAACATTCAGTATTCTTTTCTGCATATGAACATTTATAAGCTTTTTAAAGTATAATAGGTCACAGGCAGCTTTGGTAGCCTAGATCTGAAACTATTTTTTTTCTTTAAGAGACACCGGTCTTACAACGTTTCCCAGGCTAGACTTGAACTCCTGGGCTCAAGTGCTTTTCCCACCTCAGCCTGTTGTGTAGCTAGCATTACAGGTGTGCCACTATGCTCAGCTCTGGAATTTTTAACTCCGAATAAATATCCATAGTATAATTTTCACATAGCCCTATTTAGTGTTTCTATATAGAGAAAAAGATAAAGAATTGTGCCACATAACCTTTTTATATTTTTATAAGTTTGTTTCTGATTTATAAATTATAGTTTGTTTTTAGTTATTCCATGGGTGTATGTTACACCCATTGACCATATTGAGACACTTGTTCTAAATTTTTTATAAAACCTTGAATTTTTATGTGTTAGCACTACCAATATGTATTACTTCTTAAGTATCTCTAACCTGAAAATTTGAAATACACAGTGCTCCAAAATCTGTAACTTTTTGAGTGCCGACATGATGCTCAAAGGAAATGCTCATTGGAGCATTTTGGATCTGGGATTTTTGGGTTAGAGATGTTCAACCAGTAAGATAATGCAAATATTTTAAAATCTAAAAATTCTGAAATCTGAAGCATTTCTGGTCCCAAGCATTTTGGTTAAGGGATTCTCAACCTTTGTAAGCAAAAATACATTCACATTATGAAAGACACAAATTTATTTTACTTGATTTGTAATTAAAACTAGATACTATATAGCAAGGAACAGTTAGTATTATACTTCATTATGATTGTGATTATAGTTCCTTTTTATAGGTCCAGCCTTCTAAAATTCCATATTAAAGGAAATTATCACAATTCTATAAGGAAAAATCGTGTTGTTGGTAAAGCAATATACAGTTCCAAATACTATAACCTTTAGTTATATATACTTTTGTAAGGAAGAGAAGAAAACTTTATTTAGTTCTACTACTGACTCTAGCATGATAATAACAATTGTTATTCTGTTTTAAGTAGATTCAAATTATTTTTACTTCTCTAGTCCTAGTCTTGTTGAGTCACTGTATGTAATGAATAACTTCTCTATGCACCTGGAATAGTACTGGCTATGTATTATCCCTGACAAGGTTGAGGAAATAGTCACTTTCTGTATGGCCTAACAATGGCCTAGAAAGACTGGCCTAGACCATCTCTTGAGCTTCTTCTAGCTCTATTTTTATTTAATTCGATATTTTATTCACAAAATTAGTTTGATAGTATACTTTGTAAAAGTAGGGGAAGGATCCTTTTCTTTCTTATATGTGCTGCTAATTGATTTTTGAGAAAATATCTTGGTATTTACTACTACCTCCTCATTTTATCTTGCTTTGTGCTATGTAAGAAACAGTATCACAGTTGTGCTCAACCCATTTAAATCACTAAGAACTTTTATACTTAGTCTTAATATGAATTTTTGTCATCATACTATTAATAATTAGAGGAACACATTTACAAGAGAACTGTCTTTTGATAAAGTGTTTAAGGTAGAGACAATTTTTCCCTTTTAGAGTGATAAATAGATACTAGGTGGGTAGTCATAATACTTTTGTTTCAGACATTTATTTAGTCATTTGTTTAGTCTTATTAAATACGTATCCTCTGTCAAGAACCAGTGCTAGGGTTTGAATTTAAAAATAGAAGGGCTAAATAGCTGCATGATCTTGGATGAGAGTGTATATGTGTGTGTGTGTGTGTGTGTGTACATATATATATGTGTGTGTGTGTGTGTTCCTTCTTAAATCTAAAATGCTGTAATTATTAGGTAATTAACAAGGTATATTTTTGTCCTCGATCCCTTTGGGTGTGACTGCTATATATATTTTTATGTTACCATTGACATCTTCAATTTTTCAATGTGGTGTGTAATGCCGTATGTTGTGGTTAAAGAGTACAGGCTGTCTGGAGTGGCACAAGCCTGGGATTCAGTTTACATCTCTGTGCCTCAGTATTCTCAGCTCTAGCATGGTGATAATAATTTTCTTCTTCCTAGGGTTTTGATAGGATTAAATGAGTTACTACACATGTAACACATGTAGAACAGTGACATAAAAGCATTTAGTAAAAGCTGCTATTAGTATACATGTGTGAAATGGGAATATAATTTTTAAAAGTAAATATATCAGGCATTAGTGTAAAGGTAGATACCTTTGTATATTGGTAACAAATGCCAACAATAACTTTAGGTACCCTCTTTTTGTTGAGTAGTGTCATCACTTCCTCACTGGGAAGAAATCTTCTAACACCCATATTTATTAGGATTTCCTGTAGTTAGTGAGGATAGATAGTCACATGGCATTAAACATATAAAATACATTTAGTGATTTATAGTCAGATGTTTTAAAACTGTTTTTTCCAGAGCCCTTTCTTGCAGTTCTGTCTCCTTAGGTTTTCAGCAAGATTTTTGTTTATTCTACCACAAGATTTAATAATAGCAGAGTATATATAAAAACCAACTTAATCTATTTTTCATGGGTAGAAATTTATAACTTTATTTTAATTTGGTGTTTGACAGTAAACTGAAGTAATGAGAGAAATCTTTGTAATAGAATTTGTTGCTAAATACATGCCTATGAAGAATTTTTAGTGAGTAGAGAATATTTAAGAAAATGTTTATTTTCTCCGTAAACATTAGCTGTTCAAATATTTATTAAATCATCAGTCAACTTCCAGAAGTTGTTTTATATACAACTTGATCCAGGGTTTTGAAGCCTTTGTTATTAGTTGTGATGGGATGTAGTAGTAGTGACCCAATTTTTAAAATGTGGTATCTATTGATTGTTTAGAGGCAGCTTTAAGATTTAAGCCGATGTTTATTAATTTCATGAAAAAATTTAATGTCATTGATATTTATGAGTTTCAGATGACAAATACTTTATTAATAAGACTATGTAAATTATTTTTGGAATAAATTGTTTAACATCACTAAAGTTGTTTTTAAATTATTTTAAGGTGTAACTAAGATAAAATTTGTGACTTTTAAAATTATTTTCTCTTTTTGATGTGTTTTTAGCTATGCAAAAGCAGCCTTTTGTTTAGAGGAACTAATGATGACTAATCCACACAACCACTTATACTGTCAGCAGTATGCTGAAGTAAGTGTTTTCAAACAATGGCATATAATTTTATTTTGGTTACTATTCGGTATTATTATGGAACTAGGAATATTTCTTTCATGTTAAACAAGTACATAAATATTTAAAACATCTGATGAGCATTGAGTTGTGGGAATAAAAGTTTAACATTGCAATGGAAATAACTGACTTCAATTAAGTCATACTTAAAACAGTGATATTCCTTGTATTTTCATATTTGTGTACTGTTTTCTTTCCTAATTATAGTATATCTCATTTGTCACCACCTAATGGCTTCGGAGGCATTTACAGTGATTGTGGTTGTAAAATTCGTATTCTAGGGAATTTGTATTAAAGCCAATTGGGACTTAGGAAGTATTTATTTAATTCAGGTACTGCAAAGAATAGCAGTACAATTGAATGCTGTAAGACTAAAAGGACTTCATCATTAAAGAATGTCTCTGCAGGTTATAAAAGGACAATTCAGTATCTAAGTCCACATTTATAATACCAGTAATAGAAAATATTATGTGAAATGAAGCATTTGCAAGGCAGTTGAAATAGAAACTATTCTGGCTTCTTATTGTGGCAGCATTTTTGTTTTAGAAACTACTCAGTCATCTCAATGTTCATAGAATGGAATAGCTTTTTGGGGAAGGTTGTGTTTTAAGTTTTAGATTAGCCTTAAAAACCTTTAGGTGAATTCTTTTAACATCTTGTATTTGTTTACAGAGAATATCTGTTTCAATTACTTAATGCCTATGGTATGATGAAACCATGCTATATTTCAAAGTAGTAAAATAAACAGTTTTCAGCACTCTGCAATTTTTAACAGGTTAAATATACCCAAGGTGGACTTGAAAACCTCGAACTTTCAAGAAAGTATTTTGCACAGGCATTGAAACTGAACAACAGAAATATGAGAGCTTTGTTTGGGCTTTATATGGTGAGTTGAGGTGCATGTTTAATGTTATTTTTAAAAATCTGTCACTTAAAATTCACTTAACTATCTCCTCCAATCACTCTTCTTCTGTTTTTTGTATTTTACTGATAAGCATATGCTGTTTTTCTATAATTAATTCTGAGCAATAGCTTATGAGCCACTTTTTGAATGTTCCTACAGCCTGGCTGTTTAACATTTTTTGGTAAAATATCCTTTATTATATTAGAATTGAAATCTGCCCTTATAAAATTAAATAGTAACAGGAAAAAAACATAATATGAACATAACATGATACATAAAAACATAATATGATATTTTTGGGTTTATGTCCAACATTATTGTATTTCTTCCCTAAATTATAGTTGTATGAAGTATTTTTAAACTATACCAGTAAAAGACATTAGAAATAAAATCTCTAATATATCAAGTTAAAACATTTTTTATGGTGTAGAAAAATAGTTTGAAAATTGTAGGAAATATATAATTACCTACTGTTTAGGTATGCCAAATGCAGAGCTTAGAAAAGTCAATAAATAAGCGCTATGGGAAATAGTTGAAGAATTTGCTGACCTTTAAAACATATATATAAAGTGAGCACCTCTCTACAATGAGAAAGGCTGGGAAAAATAAATTTTAATATGTCAGTTCTTTGAATTTTTTATTTATCCTGTTCTTGTGACGGACTTCTTGATGAGTGTCTTCTCGTTGTAGCTCAGTTAAAAAGAATTGATTGAAGAAATGGAGATAGGAAGAGACAAAAATGAAATAATTTTTAGAAAGGAATGGCAAAATAGGGTTAGAAAATGGTTCAAAGAAATTTCAAGAAAATTTTCCTGGATTCTAGCAAAGTTAGTTGGAGTGGCTTGAATATATACTGTACTACCAGTATCTTTTTATTAAATAAATACTAGTTTTTATAAAACTGTATAATATATAGCAAATTATTAATAGCTTATAGCACTTTATGTGCCAGGCATTGTTCTGAGCTCCATTTTTTATTTTAAATCAACAAATCCTCACAGCTCACACCAACTATTGAGTAGGTGCTTTATACTATCCTCAGATGGTGAAACTGAGACACAAATTTAATTAATTTGCCCAAAGATGGGCACAGAGCTCCTAAATGATTGAGTGGGGTTTCCAGCCCAGAAAGTTAACTCCACAGTTTTTCTCTTAACCTCTACATCTACTAAAATTCATAATAAGAAGCGAACATTAAAGACATAGAGGTATAAAAATCAGAGTTTGGGATATAGATTCTTCACTGGCAGAGAGGGAGACATCTGAAAGCCTATAGCACAGGCTAGGTATAAAAGAAAGGCTTAACCTTTTTTCGAATCACATGGTCAGATTCTTTTAAGAGTAAAATATATTAAGGAGTACAATTAAAGTTATATCTTTTCTCTTCGCAGTGATATGTATATTTTAAAATTAGGATATGGTTTTGGGGTTTTATGGATTCTTTCGCAGATCCCAGATTAAGACTCCTCATTTAAATACATTTTTAAAAAAGAGAGGGTGGATCAAATTGCAGAGACTAATTAGTTCTCTTTCAAAACACAGTTTGAAAACTCATGGTATAGTGAAAAGAGAAATGGATTAGAGATAGGATCTTCTTTATTTCAAAGATCCACTATTTTGCCTGGGTCAAGTTAAATCTCACCTATTGGACTTAAATTTCTTTTACCTATTAATGTAGGATATCAGGCTACATTATTTTTGAGTTTGCTTTTTCTATAAATATTTGATAATTCTATGATTCTGACATTGACAAGCTCATGTAATTCAATAAAAAGAAATAACACCAGTAATATCCTACACTGGTAAAGTGCTTTTCGTTTTTAAAGTGTTCTTTCGTAGCTTCTTTATTTAAATTGTATGGAATTTTATCTTTAAGAGCTGTTGTAGATACATAATTAAATAATTTTAGGCATTATTTAAAATATCCTTTCTCTTTCTGTTATTTTGGATTATACTGTATTTTAAAATATATTTTCACTTTTAAGCACTAATATTCAACTTTATGTTTGTATTAAAAATTATTTTGGTACAGTTTTTAAACACTCTTTATTATCATCCCATTGCAACCATGTCCCTTATGTTTTTTATTATCTTGACTAGCAAAAAAGGAATTTTGCTTTTGATGTTTTTGTTTGCTTGTTTTTAGTCGGCAAGTCATATTGCTTCTAATCCAAAAGCAAGTGCAAAAACGAAAAAGGACAACATGAAATATGCTAGTTGGGCAGCTAGTCAAATAAACAGAGCTTATCAGGTTAGTATTTATTGATCATTTTGCTATGTAGATCAGTTAATGTATTTCTTAGTTACTTTTATTTCTACAGACTACAAAGTCAGATGTCTAGCATTGGACTTATATATACCTTTGGGGCTTTATCAAATGGGTTTTAATTGTATAGAATTAATTTGTAGTTTTAGGACTACCCTTTTTTCCCCTCGAGGAATCTGTTAGTATTATTATTTAATAATTAGCATTACCATCTGGAAACTTCAGTGGTTATGCATTTGGCAAATGCAAAGTAATTCTAAAAACTCAGAAAGGATTAAAAAAAAATCATGTTGCATTTCAGAAGCAGGTTGGGTATGTGAGTGTATTATTAATCATAGGTATCTCAAGAAATAGAAAAGAAGGAAGAAAAGCCTAAAAGTAAGTTAGGCCTTTTTAAAAATGTGAAACTGCATAACAGAGCTTATGCAGTCTACTTACTCCAGATCTTTTACTGAAACTTCCCCATTTGTATTTTAGTTTTCTAAAGCTCATTCTTAGCAAATTTTTTTAGGAAATTATTTTTCATGAGAAATTTGCTCATGGGAAAACACATCTTACATCTTGCATGTTTATGACTATTTGCCTATAGCCTTTGTTTTTAAAAGACAGTTTGGCTTTTTATATACCCTTTGGTACTTTACCTAAATATCTTAAGCATATTGTTCAGATTTTTTTTTTAATAGAGATGAGTTCTTGCTATATTACCCAGGCTGGCCTTGAACTCCTAGCTTCACGTTCTCTTACCTCAGCCTCCTAAGTAGCTGGGACTACATGGTAGTGCAGCCACTACCATGCCCAACTGTTTCATTCTGTTTTAGAATGAAATGTTGCTCCCAAGAAGTATGATGCCATCTTGACTTGCTTTTTATCATAAGTTATTTAGACTGTTTGTCTGGTTATTCAAAGGAGTTTTTTCTTTATCATTAAATTCCAATAGTTTTACTATGATTTGTTTTATTGATTATTCTCGGGTCAGTTTTCCCAAATACACAGTACTCCTATTTAGTACCCCAATTTAGCCCTTTTATTTGCGAAAAGTTGCTTTTAGAATTACAAGCATTTTTTTCTCTGCTTAATTTTCTTTTTCAGGATTTCAGTAATAAGTATATTACATTTCCTTTTTCTATGTCCTTTATTATTCATTTCTTTCAAATTATTTTGTCATTTTCTGTATTTACTGTTTTCTCTATATTTTTTATGAAGTCGATTTATATTTTTCCTGTTCTCCATGTTTAAATGAGGTAGTTTTCCTGGACTATTAGGAGGAGATGTTTATGGCATGGTGGGGAGTTGAAGTTAGGTTAGGATAACTTTCCCAGCTTGGCTATTGTATGGCTGCCTCCTTTTTGCTAAAGAGAACTCAAATATGACCTCCTTGGATAGCCAGTTTTTCTTAGAACTGAGAACTGAGTGTGACTCAGAAAGATTTTTTGGTTTCAGCTCTCTTTTCAATTCTAGAGCTCTGAAGATCTTGAATTCTGAGGTGTTGCTCTCAGCTTTAAATGTTACGTATTGTCGTTACAGTTTGTGTTTCTTCCTTTTTGTTTTGTTTTGTTCTGGGATTGCTGTCTCTGGGCATCACCTCTTTCCTTACTCCTCCTTACCCAAACCATCCCTCCTTCTTACCCTGGTGTTTCTGCCCTATTCAGTTTGGTTTCAGTTTTTAATTGTTTTTCTTCAGGGTGTTAGGTTTTGTCCTTTTGGAAGAGGGCGTTTGCCAGATATTTTAGAAATTTTAAGGTATTAGTTAGACTTGTCTCATATTTGTAAGCAGTTTTTTACACTTATCTTTGTTTTGGAGCTTATAAAGACTTTTCTAGGCCATTGGCAGATGCATCAACTCAGGTTCTCTTGTTTAGTAGATTAGGAATTCATAAGTTGTTTGGTTTTGGTTTCTTGTGGAGTAGTAGGTTGTCCTCTACTATTTTCTATTTCTCCTTCCACTCAATTGTTAATCTTTTATAGGTTGCGCTGCTCTTGATGACATAGTCACATTCTAGGGTTTAGAAAATTGACTGTTAACTAGTTTTTTGAAAATGTCATCTGTGGGCTTGGGTTCTGTTATGTTGGTTTTTTTTTTTTAATTGCTGTTCGTTTTTGCCCTTCTGGTTGGAGAAGATTGAGGAGATTTTTAAAATGTAGTGCCTGTGTAATCACATCATTGAGAGTCACCTTTGTGTACTTTTATTATCTGTTATAGAGCATGTTTTGTTGGCGTATTGTAAGTCAGAGTATTTATAAATATTAGTGAAGCTGTGTGTCTTCAAATGTAGTTTGGGATAACTTAGATCTGTAATGGAGTTCCACACAGAGTAGGCTTGGGGGCGTGTGTGTGTTTGTGATTTGAAGGTAAGATTTGTGTAATGTAAAACTAACACTATGCATACTACATCATTGTTTTTAAGATATTCATAAAAACAGTTACATTCTCAGAGTGCTTTCAGACATAACTATATTTTTAAATCAATTTATATTAAATTATAACATAGAAATAAGAATTACAACAGAAAAAAGAAGTCAAGTCATAAATGTATATTTCAGTGACTAATAAAAGGTAAATGTATCCAGGCTAATAAATATAAAACATTGTAGCATCCTAAAGTCCTCTTTAGAAGTCCTCTCAATTTCTCCTCCTATATTCCTTAAGAGTATTCATTTATAAATGTATAGTTTATGGAATCAGCCAGTATGTATTCATTTTTGTCTTGCATATTTCTTTCATTATTCAGTTTATGAGATTTATCTTTGTTTATGTCTGTAGTTCATTCATTTTCTTCTACTGTAGTTTATTGTATGAATGTTATAATTTCGTCAGTTATTGATGTACATTTGGAATATTTTCTATTTGGACTATTGTGAATAAACTACACTGAATATTGCTGTATAGGTCTTTTGGTGGACATGTATGTGCAGTTCTTATTGTATGTGCAGTTCAGTATACCTTCGAGTGAAAATACTGGATTATAGAATATGTATATATTTAACTTTAGTAGGTAAAGGCAGTTTTCCAAATTAGTTTACTCCCACCAGCAGTATTTAAGAGTTCTAATAGTCCCACATCTTCGCCAACACTTGATTCTGTCAGTCTTTGTAATTATAGCCATTCTGGTACATGTGTAGAGGTATTTCATGGTTTTATTTTGAATGTCCTTGATGATCATTTATTTGCCATTTGGATATCCACTTTCATGAAATCTTTTTCTCATTGGTTTGCATGACGTATTTCTTTAATTTTTTTGCTTATGGGCCCTTTTTTAGTTATATGTTTAAGCAAATAAGTATAATTCCTTACTTTTTCACTGTCATATGATCTTGATGAATAAAGTTCTGAAATGAAATGTGTTCAAATTCCTCAGTCATTTCTGTTATGATTTTTGTTTGTTTGTGTTCTGTTTAAGAAGTCTTCTGCTATTCATGGTCATAAAGATAATTCTGTGTGTTTTCAGAATTTCTGTTCTTTTACTTTTCATATTTAATCCACAGTCCATTTGGAATTGATTTTTTTTGGAGACAGAATCTGGTTCTGCTGCCCAGGCTGGAGTCCAGTGGCATGATCATGGCTCACTGCAGCCTTAACCACCTGGGTTGAGTGAGCCTCCTGCCTCAGCCTCCCAAGTAGCTGGGACTATAGGTACATGTCACCATGCCTGGCTAATTTTTAAATTTTTGTAGAGATGAGGTCCAGCTGTATTGCACAGGCTAATCTCAAACTCCTGGCCTCAAGTACTTCTCCTCTCTCAGCCTCCCAGTGGAGTGCTGGGATTGTATGTGTGAGCCACCACATACGGCCTTAAATTGATTTTTATGTATGATGTGAAATAGGGGGTCAATTGCTACTCCTATGGATATCCAGTGTTTCTGTTCATCTTTGTATTCTATCATGAGTCCTGTCCATGGAAACTACTTCACTGTAGTAAAAGAAGATTACAGATGCTAGATATATGTTATTTGGGTTCAAATTTTGACTCTGATATTTATTAGCTATGCAAACTTGGATAAATTACATAACATCTTTTGGCATAGCTTTTCTTCTGCAAGATGGACATAATAAAATACTCTGAGAATTGAAGAAATTAAAACATAATTTATACCAAATCACAGTAATATGCATTACATTGTGTTTGTTAATCATAGTCTTTAAGTTCACTTTATTATAGCTGTTCTGATCATTGCAATAATAATAACTAATTATAAAAGCAAACATAAACAATTTATTATAACCTACGCACTCTTCTTGTTTTATAAACAAGGAGATTAAAGCATGGAAAGATTACTTTCCCAAGGTGACACAGCTGGTTCATGACAGCTCTTTTCAAACCCAGGCAGTCTGACTACAGGGTTGGTACTCTTAAGGGTTAAAGTATATTGCCTCTATAAAGATAGTTGTAAATGTATCTGAAGTTGTCATGCCTCCTCAATTATTTTATTATATAAACAATTGATACCCTATCCCCTCATGTTTCTCTTTTCATTTCAGACATAAAACTCTCAATAGTAACTGAATTCAAGAGTTTTGCTTTGTTGTTTTTCCTTCTCCCTGTCTCTTCAGTGTTACAAGACTCCCTTGATTAGATCCCTGGGTAGACATGCTTTTCCCTGCCTTATGAGATACTTTACCACTAGGAAATGAATCTGTTATTTCAGTATTTTCAGCCATTGTTCATAGAACCAAATCTTGTTCCTTGGTAACATTTGCCCTCCCTGCCATTCTGTCTCTCTTTCTAATTGTATGTTATTAGATCGAATTTTCTTTTCATAAAGTCTTATTTTCATTGTTTATAAAGTCTCAGTGTTCTTTGGAAAGAACTCTGAAAGCATCATTTTTGCTGTTCCTTGAGTTTTGCACTGTAAACTCCATTGTACCTAGAGATGTTTTCTACATCTTTATTGAAAGTGTGATCTGCCTTTCCTTCACTCCATAGGGAAGGATAATACAAATAATTTTTCTCATTTATTTTAGATACCAACCTCGGAAGATAACATAC